AACAGTATTCGATTAGTCATTAGACGTCTTTTGACGCGTCATTCAGGGTAGATACCGAACAGTGCCGTTTTTGTGAGAATTTATGGGATGAAGCTCGATAGGTTAATCTTTGGTGATCTACTGGTATAGGTACCTTTTTTGCCTTTTTATCTGATTCATGCGTTGAATTGCCCTGGCAGTGGCCCGGGTGTGATAATTCAGGTAGATGACATTGATAACATTAATCATGTAAACATAAAGATGATTATTCAATGTTCAAACTACCGTCCCGAACCAAATAGTGGGTGAAATACCAAAGCTTCCGGAGGGCGCGAGAACGCGTAAGGTCCTGAGAGCCGAGAGCCTACCAAGACCGTCCTCGACAGCTTAGAGGATTTGTATGGCCATTTGCATGAACCTTGGCTTATTTGCATCACGATTTACTGTCTCTGAGTCTGGACCGTGACGATTTTGAGTTTGGCTCCTGCATATAATGTGCAGAATGCGGATGGCTGAGTCGTAGCTTTTTGCGACGCGTGCGCTATGTTGCTTACGGCACCGTTAATTGCATTACGATTTACGGGGGCATTCGCAGGTAAGTGTTCACTCTCCTGTATAACTATACGCATGTAGACGTAGATAGGCATGTTATCGCAAGTGATCCAGGTAATAATATGTTTAAATGCCTCTTCTAATACAAGCGTCTAAGCACAGCGATCCTATGAACCTCGCCAGATAGCGGATGATCAGCAACTTTAATACGTCCTACCCACTCATTCATTGATAGCGCACTTGAGCTCGCCGATAACAGCAACAATGAAACTATCCAAGCACCCTTTCGGCGCGGGTATCGCCCGTTTTGCACCACACTGACGCACCTTATAACTGGTGCCCACCGCTGTGCAGGCGCGGATACAAGGGGGGGCCATGGGGGCCATGGCCCCCCCCCCTTGGCCGATTTTTTTTTTCAAAAATAAAATAAAAAGTTCAAAAGTTAAAAAGCTGAAAAGGGGGCCTCCTGAAAATAAAGTGGCCGAAATCCGATGAGTTTTTTTTACCCTACCCACTTAGTTATTTCTTAGAAGACTAGCTGAGAAGACTTCTTTGTTAGAAGATTGGTAAAGCTTTTCATAACTTGGAGGTCTCTTATACTCACGGAGATGACCACTTTTACAGGGCCTCCTAACCTGCACAGAGGGCCTCCAAGCCTGCACAGATGTTGAGATGTTGCCTGAACAGCTAGATAAGCTCAATAGACACAGTTTTTTTTGGGGGGGGTGGCCCAACAAGTGGGAAGATGGGGCCTCCAACAGGTGGGATTATGGGGGGGCCTCCTGGTTTCTAATGGCCCCTCCCTTGGAGATTTTCTGGATCCGCCCCTGCCGCTGTGGTAGGCCCGGGCTTAATTGGATGGACTTCCCAGCCACGATCAGCTGAGGCCATATGGCGGTGCGCAGACCTGAGGGCAGCCCGCCCATGAGCAGCGGCTCTGCCGGCCGTGCACGGCGTGACGGCACCGACAGGTACCGCTTGTTCTGCAGATAGAGGGATACGGCGCTAGATTTCCCGCGCAGAGAATCGCTAGGAGGGACGCCCCGCTAAAGTTCCTTTTTTACTGACCATATAGGACTTTTCTTATGATTGGAAACTATTCATTAGTTGCTTAGCGGAAAGTACCGTGCCGAAAGTACGGGGGAAGCGTTGAGAAACAAGTGTGCTGGCACTGATGCATTTGTATCGGGCCAGCTAGGCATCATGGTCCCATGATTCTGAAATCTGAGTGTTGTGCGACGGGCTGGTGACTAAGCGCTGACAGCCGGTCGCCGTGCCCCTTTGAAGAGGTCGGGAGGAGCCCCGCCCCGCGACCGGGGTCTTCCCTGGCCGGAATGGGATTGTTCAACTGTATCAGGGGTGCAGTCGTTGGTACCCATAGAGGAAGTGCTTGGGGGAAAATGTGACAGTTTTATCATTTATGCTGTTGTATAACAAGCTATGCAATCTCATATTTTCGGCAAGGGACCTATAGTTTCAGCAAAAGAAAAAAATATTTTGGTACACGGTCGATTTGTCAGCCACACTTATTCGCATACTGCGCCAGCTGCGAGGAAGTGAACTCATTGTTTGAAAAGATACCCTTAATCCCAAAAAGGCTCTTACCTATAGGTATGGCGGGCACCGCCCGAAGCTGTCGTTGGCTGTTTTTCTATTGAAGCTGTCTCTTTTTTTCTTCTTTGATATTTTAAGGGGTGCTGCTGATGTTATGTATGCACAGAGGAAGTACTTGGGGAAAAATGCGACAATTTTATCATTTAGGTACGCTGTTGTATAAAAAGCAGTACAATCTCGATTCTCGGAGAATCTGCAGAGGAAAGTCCTCGGTCTGTATTCTGTAAAATGCACACTTTTACACATGGGTCAGCGCCGTTGTAGGGAAGTTGAATTCATAAATTGTCATGAAATGAAATCTCATTTTTAAAAAGATTTGCAAAAGGCGACGATTGAGGGTAGAAGCTGTTATCCGTTTTTTCTAGGTTTATATTTTGGTAATAAACCTGCGTATCATTTTTATAGGGAGTTATTTTTATTATTTTAGAATATTAACAATGACACGCAGAACAGTAGGCTCATGTGATGTCCCTCATGTGACGTCCCAGGCAAGGTCCCAGGTGAACATCCGGTGAACGGCGTTGCCCACGTTCAGGACATTACATGGCTCATTTGCTTTATTTCCGGCGTGAGGACTGAACCACGGTATATAGAGAACTGTGGAACGAACGGTGGTCAGATAGGATGAACGGTGGTCAGTGGATATTCCTTCTTCCGCTATCCCTGCCATGTCTGGCTGATCATTGAATGCTCATGTGCAAATGACGAGCGACAAATAAATCAATATCGTTCTAAACCTCAGAAAAAGGCATGAGTATTGGCCATATTAGAGTTATGCTTCTCGGTACTTGTTAGTGAACACGCCTGTTTGTAACATCGGGAGGCGGAGCAGTGGACTGAGGACTGAGGACTTCTAGGAAATTCCCCTGCTCAGACTTGAACTCACTGCCATGGGGCAGTTTGCGCCTACGAAATGAGACTATACAACACAATGCAGGGTTGTTGTGCCTCGGAATCCTGCAGCACACTAAAATGTATTAATAAAGCGATTGTTATTAGCACAGAAAAACGTCACCGTTACCCAGCACGCCAGTCGCTTGATAACGGTGGTTTTCACCACAGTGAGAGTTGGCCGACGGACCCTGCAGATTATTAACGTCTGAGCGCCTGCAAGGTCGAGGCAGATCGAGCCGATCCCCCTGGGGTTCCCGCGTTCTGACGCAAAAACGGGAACACTGCATCTTCCTAGTTTCTGAGCTCCAATTATCAATCGTTATTTCCCCCGCTTTACCTTGTCCGAGCATTGTTGAAACTGGTCGCAACCGCATGTCGGTATCACCAGGGAAATGGGGGAAATGTTGCAGCTGGTTCAGTAAACCCGCTCGTGTCGAGAATCGTGTGGCACTTACGGAAGTCGACGGAATGATGACGCATCCATCTACGAGTAGGTATATGTGCTGGAATTGTCAGAATGACGAGAGGCAGCGGGAGACAATGGGAAACGGTCTGCCACCCTCAGTCGTATTCCAATAACTTTTAATGCATCTTCATGCGTTATGTGGGACCGATTCCCTTCTCTTATATCGTGGTAAAGAGAACACACGTTCGAGCCTCGCTGTCATTCGGAGACGCGCTCCCCCAACGCGTCATGGCCCGGCCGCCGACCCTAGCCCTCGGTCGGTGGACAGCGGGGCTCGAACGTGTGTTCTCTTTACCACGATATAAGAGAAGGGAATCGGTCCCACAGTTAGGTGCGAGATACTAGATCTAGATACGTTGCCTTGAATAGATACGGTTCTTACTTACAATTGGCTAAGATGTCGCGCCAAAGACCAAAGTTGCGTTATAGGTGCATACCATCAGGGGCTTTCTTCTCTCGTGCTCTTCTTGCGTTCGTATGGTGCACCATGCTAGCTAGTAATTGCAAATGTCCGGGTGAATCCCAAGGCATTAGTCATAAGTATAAGTACCTACCCTAATACGGTAATACGATCAAAACAAGCTTTGCAACGTACTCATGGGGTACGATGAGTCATATGGAGGGGAAGATTCGGTCGACGAATACGGGAATACGTTTTGCAACATATTTTTTTCTAACTTTTCGCCTCGGGAATAATGGGTTTAACATGCATTTTTCTCTCTTGCTGTCCCTCTCTTGCTGTTATGAAAACGGATTATATGTTAGTAAAGTACGATCCGTGCTCCTACATTCAAAGCTTTAAAAGAATCGGGTAAAAATGTAGGAATAATTCAAATTTTAGTGAAGTCACAACGCCCACATTTTTGAGAGCGAGTACGGGAATGAAAATAGCACCATTGGATTCGTCGTGAAAAACTGCATCAGAAAGACACCTTTTTGTGTTTTGACAATCAACGTCGAAATTTGACCTCACTTGACCTGACCTTGACATGACCTCGAAGTGGACAAATATGGTTCATACCATATCACGCCTGAAAATGTGGTTTGTGTCAAAAGATCAGGCTTACCTTAATCAAAGGTAAGTTGTGTCAAATGTTAGTCAGCCCTATCGCCTGCGTGTTACGAGCAATCACAAAAACGTAGGTATGGGTGCCGTCCCCATACGTTTTTAAGCCTCCCCTCGGCCGGTTAGGGTTAGAAATGGGAAAATAAAGCATTACAGCCCCCATACGAGGTAGGAAAATGTTGCCGTGCTCGTGCAAACGCGACACAATTTCTCCCAGTGATTTCTCTGACTAAGAGAGCGTCCCTGGAGTGGGCGACTCGGTATCCACCGAACTGACACCAGGGTCCAGGACCTCCCAGCACCGAGTCAGCCGGCCTCCCTGTCCTGCCGGCCGCCTCCCGATCGGGATGTCCCGTGAGTGCCCGCCGGCGGCCGCCCCGTCGCTGTCATCCCCCGGACCCCTCCCAGCCGTCCCTCACTGCCCTGCAGGGTAAGTCCGACGAAGCGCCGCCGCCGCGGCCCGGCCCCGACGCGACCCGGCCGTCCCGACCTCGCGCCGCTCGGTGGCGCTCGGGGCCGGTGCCGCGCGCCGGGATTCCCAGCCGAGTCTGTATAGGCGCGCGCCGCGCATCGGACCGCTCAGTACGCACTCTGCCGACCTGTGGTGAGGACTGCAGACGCTCCGGTGCAAGACGTGAAGTCTACATTTGTGTTCACGATACCTACCGGGTCAGCCGGTAACGGACTCGGTCAGCTGAACAACCAGTGTTTTGTAGTCATGTCTAGGCGAGTAAGTGTAAACGGAAGAGGAGCGGTGCACGCGGTGGCTGACTGCGCCCCGCCACCTTCCCGCGGTACGGCTTTCTTCTCGGCACGCTCTCGGCACCTACCCGTCAAGACGTGCGAGTCGCCAGCGTCGCTGGACCAGATTCTGGACAGCGGGTTCATCTCGGGTCACCTGTCGCCGACCACTCCGCCTCCGGCCGGCTACCGGTACCCCAAGGAGGCGACGGCGCGTCCCAGTGACGCCGGGGAGGAGGCCAGCCGGCTGAGCGAGGAGCTGAGCGGCCTGCAGCTGGAGGAGGGCCGTCTGGACGCCGCCGACCGGGCACTCTGGGAGGAGCGCTACATCACCGCCCTGGAGGAGGCCTTCCGAGGCGACGAGGACGGAGACACGTGAGTAATACTACATTGGAGGGGTTGATTGGGTGATATCAAATGAGCGTGGGGTACTGTTGTAAAATTGCACTGTTCCCAAACGGTATCTTGTGCTAACCGTTTAAAAAGAGCTAGCTGATAATTGATGTCTTTAAACCCTGCTAGTGAGAAATGTATGTTAGGAACCCGCTTTTAGGATGCTTCATTTGAAGTGCAACGTTTCCCCTTAAGTCGTATTATATAACCAGCTTTTCTAGTCGTTGCATAAGGTCAATCGCCTTTGTGCTTGTAACTTTAGATTGCCAGGCGCTGACCACTGTCCATGTTAGGATTATTGAGCCGCCTCGCAGCGAGCGAGCCTGATTTCCATACTGTTTCGTTTGATGTTACAGCTGGCGCACCAGCTGTCTCATTACGTAGGCTTTAGCCCATGTTTATGGGCCCTCCTGGTGTTAATGTGCATGTCGTCTGCCGGTTCCAGAAGTGTCGATCGGAAATTCTAAAACGTCTAATTGAAACGCATTCCTTCGTGAGTCACATGTGGGTTGTTGGAAATTTTGCCTTTCCCTTCGCCGGTTGCGGGCTATTCCGGGTAATTCTGGTCGGTTCCCTCGCCCGGTACCATCACCTGACCAGTCGCTTACGAGCCCTACAATCTACATGCAAAACTGTTGAGGCATCCTCCTTACCGGGCACGAAGACCGTTTTACCCGGTGGGTGAGCTGCTGGCCGGAAAGCGGCCGCCGATGGCCGCTCCCTCCTGGAACGGCCGGCCGGCCGGCGGGGCTGTGTGTCGGAGCGGCCGCTCATGGCCCGCCGGCCGAGGAAAGACGGACGCCGCCGCGGCAGCTCGCAGGTGCGCTGGGATTCCCGGCTGTAACCGGCGTGCAGCGCTCGCCTCCCGCGGAAATCCCGCGCCATTCTCGCGCGGACCGGGCGCGGGTCAAGGCCGGCCCGGTCACCGGCGCCGGCGGCTGCGGTGTCGCCACAGGAAAATGCCGCCTGAATGAGGTCGTCCAGTCGGTTGGGAAAGCCAAAAACAAACAGGACGCCGCGCTGTGGTGGCGCAGCGCGGCGCGATAAGGGTGCCATGCGCTGCGTGGCGAGGGGAGGGCATTCAGGTGGCTTGGCGCTCCTGCACTCGGTCAATATGCCGGCTCTGCCGGCGGTGCTCGCTGCAGCCGGCCCCATCCACTCGGGGTCGAAGAGCACCGTTCTGGAGGCGCTCTCTGTGCGGGATTTCCGTGCACCGCGTCTGGCAGCAGCACTCCGCAGCGCCCAACATCAAGGCGCCACCGCGGCCGCCGGAAAGCCCGCCTGTCTGACCTGGGCGCCCACCTGATCGGTGACGGCTGACGCCGCTCACGACAAACTCACGACACGGCTTGTCGGGCCATTGCGGACGGAGAGACACGGGACGAGCCGCGGCACGGTCCGATCTCAGTCGCCGCCCATGCATTCTGACGCCTCACCCCGCGAACCCTCCTCACTGTCTAAGCAGTCGAGTAGGGCGCTGACGACCCTTCTCGCTGTCTAAGCAGTCGAGTAGGGCGCTTACCGTGCCCCTCTGTCCACAGGCACCTTCACCTGGCCATCATCTACGGCTACGAGCGAGTGGCCGACTGCCTGGTGCGCCTGGTGCCGCACCCTGACTTCCTGAACCTGAGGAACAGTTACATGCAGGTACGGACATAGCACCACGCTGAAAGGCCGCCGCGGTTTTCCCGAGGTCACGATAGCTGACGAGATATGAATGCCCGCCCGGAGTGCTGCGCCCTGCCGACGTTTCTGGGTTTCGTATTGTAACGGTATATACGGCATATTTGTGTGGATTTTAATCCATTGATCTTTTTTAGGGATGTCCATTCTGCTATCTATGAACCGGTTGTGATTTGTACGATAGCGTCATCAGCCAATATGAATTTTTGCGCATTTCATCAGAGCTTTATCAATGGAAAATCCATTAGTTTTGCTGTATGGTTATAACCGCATGGCTTTGGCGCCGACGGTCATATTCGTGGTTTCCTTATCCACCTACCTATCACAAGGGTCATTGATCCCCAGCTCTGGTCATGCTAAAATACCATAGTGGTTTTGTTGTCAAATAACCATTCCGCAATGCCTGGACTGGACCGTAACACCGGTCTCTAGACGAATAACTTGTCTGGCCAATGGGCATGTCCCGCAGTATTTACATATGCCTACACCTGCATTTGCTGGAGTCACGCAGACATAACGAGGCATCGTTAACATTTGCGTCTGCGGCACCCATTGGCGGCTGTTTGGTCTCGTTGCGAGGGGCGATGGAGCGTCTCGTTAGTTGCGCGGCCGGCTGCGCCGGCGGCAGGGAGTTCCCGTGGCAGGAGAGAGGCCGACAGGGGAAGCCCGCGCTCGTTACACGCTCGAATGGGCACACCAAATGCAAAGTTCATGGCTATAGCCAACACGCAACGGCAACACCAAAGAAAGTCGGGATGGCTGTCCGATTCAGGCCGTCGGCACCATGGCATTTTTGACGAGTAACGCTCCCCGACCGGCTGGTGGCGTCTTCAGTCACGCGAACTCGAGCTGCACCGTTGCTTGGAAAACGCGGTCGCTTTTAATTTAGCTATCTATTTAATTTGGCAGTACCGTTAGAAGTTGCGGTGAGGTCCATGGAACTTCCGCGACCACTCAATCCGTTTTTATACCTCCTCTTTCACTCCTCCGGGGTATTGTACTCTCCAAAGTCACTCCACCATAAGTTGATGTCGTCATGGCCGTGCTACCCCCGGAGTTGTTTTCCGGCCACCCCTGACCACAGCTCCCTCGCTCGCTCCCCAGACGCCGCTGCACCTGGCGGCGCTGACGGGCCAGGCGGCTCTGTGTCGTCACCTGCTGGTGGCCGGCGCTGACGCCAGCCTCCGGGACCGGCACGGCAACACGCCTCTGCACGTGGCGTGCGCGCGCGGCGACCTGCTGGCCGCCCAGGCGCTCACCAGCACCGTGTCCAACGACGAGACGCGCGAGGCGGCGCTGCGCTACTCGCTGCCGCCCTCCCTCGCGCTGCCGCCGCTGGACGAGTGGAACTACCAGGGTGAGTGTCTCCCACCGACCGGCACGGTTTGCACGCAAAACTGCCTTGGCGACACTCGGAAAGATTTTGGCCTCTCTTTCATAAATACGTGTATTTTATATTTTTGCGTCCTTATTAGTTGCAATGTCCCATCTCAACGCCTCACAGCACAGTTACATCAGAAGACACCAATTATTCCGCATTATTACATCATTAGAAGTTCCGAAATATAGCATATTGCACCAGCCAGCGACCACAGTACTATCCAACATGACACCGATGTCTGTGTAATCTGTATACAACTGCTCATAATTGCTCCTACTCCTATTACACAATCATCTCACAAGCCAATGATCGTGCAATCGGGAGTTGCTCGCTCGCTCTAAGTGTGACGCAACTGACGGCGGCCCCGGTGATGTCCGGATGTGTCAGTGGCACCGAGCTGCTGACGCACGGGCGGACGTGGCGGCTGCCCTGACACCCTCTGTTTGTCCGTGGCCGAGCCGGGAGTTCCCAGTAGCCGCGCGGCGGTGCCGGGCCGGCCGGGACCGACCCAGGCGGCGTCAGGGGCGTCTCCGAACCCACACACACTCGCCGACAATCGATGACGGTTTTCCGAGCTCGCTCTGACGAATGGGAAGTGCCGAGACCGCGGCGGCCGCCCCCAGCTGGGCCGTCACAAAGCAGCGGATAAAACCGAGCACGGCTCGACAGGCGCGCGACCATGCTCTTTGTGCGGTTACAGCCCTGCTCAGGACAGCCCCTTCCTCAGCGCAGTCGGCGCGTGCTGAGACAGCAGAGCCTGTCATATGACCAAATCAGGTCATAGCAATCAGACTCGTGTGTGATTATTGTGACGTGACATGCTAAGCTACGCTTGAGAAGCCACTCTGCTCAGGGATATTTCTGGTGTCCTATCCGGCCAATCGGTTCACTGATAAATGATAATATGTTTATTGCTTAGCCTTACCAATGAGGCTTAAACATTGGAAGTTCCCTTCCAAGGAGAAACCCCCTGGCCATCGAAGGTCTCTTCAGCTGTTCGTTAATTTCTTGATTTGGAACCGCCAGTGATATGTATTCACCCCGAAAAATTCATGTCTTGGCACATATGTGATGATGATGATGATGATGATGATATTCTCTTTAGAGGACCTTCCTCTAAAGATCGCTCGCTCGGGTCCTCACGTGACGGTTGTGACGCAACGCCCTCGACGCTCTGTGTCGATCAATCGGGCGACACGGTACGGTATTCCCTGACGGTCCCCGGCGCGGCCCGGCCCGGCGGACGATAGCTCCTTATCGTGCCTACTCCCGGCCGCCGCTCGTGACTAAGAGCTCAGCGCTTTGGTGTCCATTGTGTCATTCACCGGGGTGCCGCACGTCAGCAGAAACTGACGGGGAAGGCCGCCAAAGACCCGGCCGCCCCCGGCGAAGGGGCAGGGGTCACGGTGGCAGGGCAGGGGTCACGGCGGCAGGGCAGAAGTCACGCCACCCGTACAGGTCGGCGAACAGCGACACTGACGAGGAGGGAGGGGGAGCGGACAGGCGGAGGGAGGAAGACCCGATCAGGAAAGTTGCGAACTTATTGGCTGGCGTAGTGGTCAATGACAAGAAAATACCTAGCACTATTCCCACTGCTTATTGAAAGCGCGAACGATGCAAGACGTCGAAATAACGGAGGGTTGCAGCTGACATTTAGTGAGCTAATATAAGACCAACTTTGAGTTAAAGTAACTTCAAACCCTCCAACCTAGGTACCGCTTGCTGAAGCGCATAATTAAAAATTGATTTACACTCCCCGACCATTCTTCTGACGGTTTAATAATAAATAAATCTTGAGCAGGTGATCTCCCACCCATTTTATGGTCGTTTGACGCACTGAAGCGACAAAGGCTTGTTCGGGATAGGGAACCCCCGACCCAGCCTACCTGTAATATACATACCTCCCGTCGTGCCCTTGATAATGATAACGTCTCCGGCGCCTTGGCCCGTCATTCTTGCCCGAGGTTCTTCCCTGGAGGTGCCCGTTTACATAACACCACCAATCACGCCATAGTCTGTTTGGCAGGGAACGGGGCCCGCATGGCTCAGTGCGTTCGCATCAGCATTGAATTGTAAATTCAAGAGACTCGGCATCACGTTTGACCTATAAACATGTGATTGTTTCCGAAAGCGGGCCCATGTGGCCTCGCTATCGTATTCTCGATGACACGTCAGCATGGTTCCCCACGCTCGCTCAGATCACCCCACCGCGTCCCCGCGGCTCCCACTGCATCCCCTCCTCCCCCTCTTGCCCTGGTCCTCTCCCTTCCGGCCACCGGAGCAGATCGTCGGCTGCAGGCCGTCTCTCTGCCCCAATACGTCCTCTGTTGGGCCGGAAATGCCGCGGCACCGTATTTTTAACAGGTCTTTCCGTCCGGTGGCTGCCAAAAACGCCAGATCTGGCGCTGTCCCTCTCGAAATAGGGCGTCGCTCTGCTCGCCGGTCACAGCCTGTCCGCTGATTCAGCCTTGCGTCCCGTGCGTCGCACGTTCTGGGGATGTGTGGGGCCCCACCGTCCGACCCCGGCTCCGCAGTGCCGTCCCTGATTCACCCCGCATGGGCGGAAGGACTCCCCCGTTGCGCTGACATTTCAGGGATGTGGGGTGTTTTTAGCTGTCACTTTTGTGTGAAACATAGCTCATGCTTCCGAGTGGGTAGCTCTGGGGCTAGACCAAGTCTTAGTCAATGGTTGACAACTTCAGTCTGAACAAACCAGCCGGTGTGTGAAGTGGTTTGATCTGTAATACAGATTTCACTGCAAAGGGAGATCCCCACAAGTTTCAATTGAAACATTGCGTGGTGTGCCATGTTTCACCTGAACCATTGCATGTCCACTGTCCAACTGGACATTATCACAACTGGACATTGTCCAGTTGTGATAAAGGCTCAGATGACTACAAACTGCGCATCGTTAGAGTTCTAGAACGTTCAAAGACATGATGCCTTTTATCAGCAATGTACCCAATGTTTATCCATTTGAGATGCACCGCCCTGTTGCATTGGGTCTACGATAACATTACCCGTCGGACCTTCCGGCGATGACATCCAGCCGCTGACGGGGTGTTTCGTGACGCGGCGTGTGTCTGGGACGGCAGCGACGCTCCCACGCTATAGTGTCGGGACGCCCCGCCGCGCCGACACCGCCGTCCCGTCAGTCGATGTCGACAAATAGCCGTGAAAACCCGCCCGACGAGCCGGGCAGTTCCCGGTCTCCCACCATCAGGGTCGCTTTGACACGGCGCCGGCCGCCGCCCCTCATAGCGGCCGGGAAGTACGCCGGTTTCCCCTGCGGCGCGGAGCTGCGGCAGCCCTCCGCTCGGCCCGGGACGTTCCACGGCCGACAGCGGAGCCGCCGGCGGCCGGAGACCGAGCCGCGGACTCCCGCGGCGCCAGAGAACGATCTGGGAACAATGCGCCGGCGAAACGGCCGCATGTAAAACAGGGTCGGTGACCTGGGCATCTAGTTAAACCGCGAGCTGTGCTTCACGAGCGCCCCGACCAGTGTCGGAGGGTGTGCTGTCATCCATCGCCAGCTCACCCCGGGTCAGACGAGCTCAATATTCCGCCAGCTGAATTTGAAAGCGCATAGTTCAGCGCAGGGTATATAGGTTCAGCGTGCAAGGCGGCGCTACAAAAACACCCAGTCGCCGAATGTTCTGTGACACGGGTCTGTTACATCAGACCTTGGCACATCTTTTCATCCGCCATCTGCCATCCCTGCACAAAGAAAAACACGCGCCATCACGGCGAAAGTTCAGCTGGCGCGTCACGTTTGGCCGCCCCCGCGTCACGTCTCGCCGCCCGCGCCGCAGACAGATGCGGCGATCGCGCGCCGCATCTTGACTCCGGCAGCGGGGTGGCTGGCCGGCCAGTCACGCCGCCAAGCACGGTTATGCATCGCGGAAATTCCCGCTGCTGTGCAACCGGGAGGCCGCTCCGACACGTCGCCGAGACGGTCACGGAGACGGTCACGAATATGGTCACGGAGATGATCGCGTCACGGATATGTCACGGAGACCATTAGTGACCTGCTGTCAGTCGTCACGGACAGGCGAGAGAGATCGGAGGAAGTTTAAGAAACCCATCAGTGTCAGATGTCGAAAGAGAGAGCAAGCGGGGTTTCCTCTCGGTCGGAGAGGCTACCGGAGACCCGGGGTGGGTCACCGATCCGCCTATCCACCGGAGAAGGGAGCTAGTCGGGCGGGTTTCCCAGCACGGCCGGGGTTGTCCCAGACACTCCCCGTCCGCGGGACAGCCTCTGCGGCGACCGAGCTCTCCGCGCGGAATACACAGCAGCCTTGGCCGGAATATAGCGCCCAGATAGTGGCGGCCTTCGCCCGGCCGGCCTCGGATCTACATACCCTCAGGGCGATATGTGACACCAAATTACTGACCTCGCTGGCCCGCAGCCAGCAAGCTAGATGTCAACATACAGCGCACGAGCGCCGTCCTCAGGCGCAGTACACGTCCCCCGTGACCCGCCGTCGCCCTCGCCACGCCGCTGACCGCCCTCTCCCTCCGTCCACAGGTCTGAGCTGCCTGCACCTGGCCGTGCTCACTGGCGACCGTCGCCTGGTGGCGCACCTGGTCTCCCATGGCGCCAACGTCGCCTGCATGGAGGGCAAGAGCGGCCGGACTCCCCTCCACCTGGCCGTCGAGGCGGGCAACATCGTCATGCTCGAGTTCCTGGCCACGATGTGCAAGGCTGACGTGCGCGCCACCACGTACGGCGGTCTGAGTGGTTACCAGCTGGCGCTGCTGAACGCCCGGCTCGATGTGGCCGAGGTACTGGAGTCGCTCGGAGCGGCGCCTGACGCCCTGCCAGAGTCGGATATGGAGCTCTCCGACTCCGAGCCCGAGGTAGGCAGCACGGGGAGTGGCGGGGTGGAGAAGGGAAACGGCTGTCCGGGAGTTTTCAGCTCCATTTGGACTGTCTGGCTTTCACCGTTATCGATGTATCGAACAATTTTATATTATTTTTTCTCTCTGCAACACACCTGGTGATAGTTGTTCAGTACCTGGATCTTAAAATTGTCGATAATCCACTTGAGTCTGTTCTCCGCCAATTTTGTTTCCGTGGTACGAGACTAACGGGTTTTCTCCCATCTTTGCAGATGCTGCTGAAGGCTGATCTCAGCGACGTCCGGATAGGAGGCCTGCCACTGGTGGCGGCTCAGTGAGCGCTACCCTTGGCGAGGGCAGGATTCACCGTCGCCGGGCGTCACTGACCGTCACCAGACGTCATCGGTGCATCGCCAGACCGTCAGCAGACGTCATCGACCGTCACCAGACGTCATCGTTACACCACCGACCGTCAGCAGGCGTCAGTACACCATCGGCGCGGGCCTTACCACCAGCTGGCGCCACCAGCCACCCGCTCCGCCTCTGCCGTCCGTCCATTCGTCACAGAGCTCGCCGAGCTGACTCGCCGAAGCTACCGAGTGAGGCACCGAGGAGAGTCCTGCACGTGCCGTCGGCCAGTGACCGGTCTCCGCCGACGCGTCGGACAAGCCCACTGCGGATTCAGGCCAAATGTGACGTCATCAGCGATGATGCACGGCGCCGACCGCAACCAAATGCGGATTATGCGGTTTCACCGCATTAGAGTCGCTGGTTTTCTCTGGAGAATGAACTCAGCATTAGAAAGGAACACCGAACAATCACATTGCCACACGGCATGTGAATGTTAGAGGACACTGGTTGTTTTGGATACTGTGGTTTCGTCATCTGTTTGTAAACTGTAGCCACATTACGCTACCTTTAGCTTACCAACTTGTTATGTAGAATGTGCACATGGTTATCCAAGCGATATATAATGTGTGTATATAATGGTCGGAGGTTTGAGATGGACGAACGTTTATATGTGTGTCTGCTATCGCTGGGGTTTGCCATCTCAGGCCGATTTCGATCTCATTCTGAGCGGTTTGTAGCGTGTGTCGTAGTATTCATTTATCACTCTCATCGTGTATTATATTCATAGTCATCATCATCTACATTTATTGTGATTTCATCTTTGTCATGTTCTAAATGACAGCAAAAACTTGCGAGTAATCTATTCGCTTGCTCGCTGTTTTGATGGTGATTGTTTCTAGTAATGTATGCCACATATAATGTTAATTATTCAAGTATATGTCAATTATTTACTGCGTAATATATTTGATCGTATTTCTATAAGCGTTTTGTTTTCGATAATTGTGGGAAAGTGTGGGCCACCCACATGCGGCTTCAAATTCACTGGAAAAAAGAGGACTGCGTTTGAAAGTGAAAAGAGGCTGTGCAATGCGTCGACCGTCGAAATGGGCAAAAAACATTCAACGGAGGGTAAGAAGTGGAACAGAACAGCGATATGAGTCATGATAAGGCTGGAAGGCCAAAGAAGCGTGACGATCAACCAGTTACTTAGAGACAGAAACATGCAAGGCCGGCATAGTTACCAGTACCTACTTGTCATTCGGTGCATGATTGTCTCCATGCCAACTATTAGCGTTCATCTTGCCCGTCCAATCGTTCCCATCTAATGCCATCCGCCGACACCGCTAAGGTCGAGAGGCCTTGACAGTACAGATAGTCACATGATCTTAAACACACACACAAATCTTGAGGCGCGGCCGGTCGTGGCTCTGGGTCGCGGCTCATCCCGTCCCAGTCGCCTATCGGTGTTAGCCCGGGAAGGTCATGGTCGCGCGCCCGTCTCCGCTGCTGGCCGCCGCCGCCGGTCTGGCGGTGCTCGGCGCCGCTGCCGCCGTGGTGGTGGCGCGGCGCCGTCAGCGACGCTCCTGGACCCCCATTGGCACCGTCAGGGCGCTCACCCTGTACCCGCTGAAGTCTGGCGCCGGCCAGCCGCTGCAGCGGGGCCGGGTCACCCTGCTGGGTCTGCGGGGAGGGGATGGCGTCCTGGACCGCAGCCTGGCCGTGGTATGTGGGGGCAAGGTGATGGACGCTGGCACGCGCCGCCGTCTGGTGCTCATCTCTGCGGAGATAGGAGCCGGCGAGGTGACGCTGTCGGCGCCAGAGGTGAAGTCGCTGACCGTGCCGCTGCCGAAGGACGGTGAGGCGACCATGATGGAAGTCGACCTGAACGGCCACCCCGACTCGGGTGCCGACCTCGGCCCCGAGGCCGCGCGGTGGCTCCACGAGTTCTTCGCCGACGGCAAGTCCTACTCGCTGATGTACTTTCTACCCGGAGCGGTCACCCCGCGACGCACCTCTCAGCTTCCCCACCCGTACGTCCACCTAGCCGACCCCGAGGACGCCGTCACATACAACTTCGTCACGCCCCTGTCCGTGATCTGCGACGCCTCCATCGACGAGCTCAACCGGCGCCTGGCCAGTCCGGTCACCGTCCACCAGTTCCGACACAACATCGTCGTCGGCGGCGCGGCGCCGTTCGATGACGACGACTGGCGTCTGGTGCGCGTGGGCGGCGCGCAGCTGCGCCGGGTGAAACCCGTGCACCGCTGCGGCATCACGCTGGTCGACCCGAACACCGGGGAGCGCAGTGACGCCATGGAGCCGCTGCGCACGCTGAGGACGTTCCGGCTGGCGCGCACTGCCGAGGAGCGGCGTCTGTACAAGGAGGCGCCGCTGCTGGGCAGCGCGCTGGCCGTGGACCAGGAGGGCGATGTGGCCGTGGGCGACACGGTGTATGTCACCAGGGACTGAGGGCCGCCCTGAGGCACTGAGATCATATGTCATACGTCATCAGGTGTATGCCATCAGGAACTGAGGGATTGACAGGACACAGTGAACTTTACTTAGAGAACAGGGCTAAAGGGCGGCGTAGGACGAGGTAACGAGGGACTCTCTTCGAGGGACGAGGTTAGGATAGGAGTCTTGTCTTGGGTTTGGAGCGAAAGCGAAAGGACATAACTAAAACATTAAATAAAAGAGCATATACTGGCCCGCAATTAAGGACGTCGGATGATGACGAAATAAAAGTATAAAACTCAAATCAGATACAAGTGACAGACAGATGATGGCATGTCAGATGACCAACGTTCAATGCCCGAAACCGACCTGTTAGGAAGGCACGAGCGGCTAGACTATGGCTAGACCCAACCCAAAGGCGGAAGTATGCTCCCAAAGTGCGCTGCATGACCAGGACAGCATCCATTAAAGAACATGCCTAGCAGTTCAGTCCATTGACAAAAGGAACTTGTGAAGACTAGTTTGACAGCGTGTAACTGAATAATGAACATGACGAATCGCCTCCCGACCTCCTAATGCAAGATCAGTTTTTACATGTTTTTGATATTAGTGGGATGCGGCTTACACAATCACAGGCACTACGTAGGAGTAGGAGAATCTAGCATTATGCAATGTGTTGCTTATTTACCGATTACATTTATCGATTTCATCAAGCGTTCGCGACGCCATAATCGCGTCCTCCGCAGCACGCTGAAGTGGGTTTTAATTGGTATTGCCCCGCGCTACAAGTGGACATTGGCTATCGCAAGTACGCCCACATTTGAAGGCTGGCCCTCGGGAGCAAGTCGCGGTTTAGTCTACATACAGAGCACCTCTCGTCCTGCACAAAAGGCCGTCAGACTGTCCGAAGGTCAGCACTCCGCAGTGAACAGCTCAGGGGGTCGTTGGCCACTGGGTTTGTGCTAACAGACTCTTAAAAAGCAGTCCTCGAAGCGAACAAACAAGGGCTATGTGTACAGTCTGTCCTTTTTAGCCTACTGCCGGCTGATAGCCCACCAACACACAAACAAAACCAAAGTCCCTCGGATCCGGTTTAAACCGCTTTGACCAGGCACACACTATGACTATCCCGATACAGCCCGACCGAGGGCACCAAATGACCTTCACACACCGCGCCCACTCCCAGTAAAATATACTAGAATCAATAAACGGAGAGCGTGACCGGCCGGACTAGGGGGCGTCGTGGGACCAATAAATATACGGACAGGCCGCAGCGCATGGTGAGCAGGGGCTCCAACGTTTACACGGCTATGTCGCTTCGTCAGGCCCAGCGATGATGATTTAGGAGCCTGGATACCATTTCCTCTCTGAGATACGCACACGCCCCATCCCAGACCTGACAAACAACGAGCTATCGTTGTGGCGTATGCCAGATCTATTCCAAGGACGCAAATCAGCAGCCTCACACAAACACTGGACATCACAGAGCAAACAATAACGGGACAGACTTCTGCAAACACAAACAACGGGCATGGCACAGGCAAATGAACAGAGCCGGCTTGAGGTGCGCCGGAGCGCGAGTCTTCCAAAGGGAGCTAGAAAATGCACACCACCTGGATAATGGACCCAAAGGCCGCTGGGGTAACGCTCCACATTACGACCGAAGCGAATTTCAAGACATCCTGACACACGTAAGCAGATTTCGAGAAGCCGGGGTGAGGGGTGAGGGGCGGAACAGTTGAACACGATATAATGTCTTACTAGTCGGATAAGAAGGTCTATGCCAGTTAAAGCCCGGAGTTAGGCATGCATTTAAATATAATTTCTGCCATCCTTCAGGTCCGACATCCTGGAACTTAGAGAAAACACTACCGCAGATAGAGAACTACAAATGTCTGAATAAAGCGAACAAAAATGCAACAAGCTGCGATATTTCATCACAGTTAATTACTCTCACACATGACTTATCATGGCACCGAGCAAATAAAACTCGTTCCACACCAACACAAATTGCCGCTGAGGTCCTTGGTTCGGCATGTAACTATATATGTCATGGCTCTGAACGCGGTGTGAACCGAGCTATCATCAAAAGGCAGGCTCCTAGGGAGCGGCACTGAAACACGACTCGACAAAATCTCCTTAGATAACATGGTTAGCAAACCACTCATCGGTCCCCATTCACCGTCATACGCTGGATCCTTAAAGCGAGCGAGTGTAACACCGCTGTCATCCGAGCCTTCCGCGTGGTGAGTTCGGCAGGCGGGACGAAACCGAGACCGAACAACAGAGGTAGACAGTCCGCATGTCCCGCGGGCACCGACAGCCCGCCGCGCGCGCACTGCGGCGCCCCGGGCGGAGATTCATCACTTACCTCACCGCTTCGGCGGCCTGTGGTCCCGTGGCGGCGGTCCGCGGTCCCGTGGCGATGGTCCGGGTCCCGTCACCCGGAGCGTCCAGCACTAGCACGCGCGTTTGATCACTCGCTCCTCTCACTGTCGTCAGTGCGCAGTTACGACGGGCCCGGCTCCGGCTGTCCGTTGTGTTCATGAAGCTCCTCGCACTTCTCGAGCAGTTTGAGCAGCGGCGCCACGTTGTAGGGGAACAGGTCCCTGGCCACCAGCCGCTCCAGGGAGAGGCGGAGCCGGATCAGCACGGCCATCACCTCCTCCATGCGCGGCCCGCAGACGGCCACCAGACGCGGCCAGCTGCGCCGCGCCGCCTTCAGGTAGCGCAGCAGGTACAGCAGGAAACAGGTCTCGTTCGAGACGAGGAAGTCGAGCAGCAGGTCGTGGTCGCGCCGCACCGTCTCCAGGAACTGCACGAAGCTGCGGTGCGGGCAGATGGCACGCTCAAAGTCCTGCGGCAGGCGCACGCGGCCCGCCAGGCCGTTACTCAAGTCCAGCATACACAGCATCGCCTCCACCAGGTAATCGTCCTGATCGCAGAGCAGCACCACGACCCACTCGCTCATTGGTGTCTCCGGGTGAAAGTCGAGCCGCGCTTTGATCCAGCAGTCCAGCCGGCGCACCACCTCACGTAACGTACGCTCTATAATCACCATGTCCTGCTCCTCTGATCCGGAGCCGCCGGCGGACCGCGCCGACGCGTCACTGCTGCTGTCACACCGAGTCTCTTTCACCGTCACGGCCAGCGCTTTGAGCACGAGCAGCACAGTTTTCTGCAGCAGAGGCCGGTCACCGGCCGCCTCTCCGTCCGTACCGGCGAACGCGCGCACACCCCGCTCGTAGGGCACCAATTCGAGCAGCCGGCCGGTGCGCGCCTGACGCAGCAGCGCGTGCGCCAGGCCGGCCGGCTCCTCTGCCACACAGTCCTGCAGCGCGATGGTGCTGCCGTAACAGAGCACCTCACTGTACAGATCGAGCACCGCTCGCCACACGTGCGGCGACGCGTCATTGCCCAACGAGCTGAGCAGCCACTCCAGTCGGGCGTAAAGAGACTTGGTCTCAGCGATACTCATATTGTTCTTTACCGATATGACGGTGGCCCAGAGTCTGAGGAAGGCGAGCACCTCGGTCTCGTGTTCGGGCCGCGCCAGTAGCCGACAGAAGCGCTGTGTAATCGGTATCCAGCGGTTCTCCAGCTGGGCTGTGATGGCACACTTGAGTTCGGCCAGCGACTCGGGGTCGGCGGCCACGCTGACGGCGCGACACTCTGCCGGCAGCGGCCGCCCGCCGCCGGCGCCCGGCTCCTCGTCGTGCTGCTCGATGAGCCGCTGCAGCGCGTTCAGCGCGTGGCTCACCTCCAGCGGCCGCTCCGAGTCGAGCACGGCGGCCACGAGCGCCTCGACCACGGGCTGGGCGCGCTCCGGGGTCACTAGCAGCGCCGAGAGCGTCAGACACCGACCGGCCGCGCAGCTGAGCAGCGGGCTGTCGCGCGCCAGCAGGGCCAGCAGCGGCTCAGACGGCGTCAGCTCTGCCGGGCTGCACACGCCCTCCTGCAGCCGCTCACACATGGTACCGGCCTGGAGCTGCTGCTGCGCCGCCTGCTGCAGCAGCTGCACGCAGCTGAGCGCCAGCAGCTGGCGGCGCGGCTCGCCGTCGTCCAGCGCGGCGGGGACGGCGGCCAGCTGCGCCTCCTCGGTGTCACACAGGCAGCCGAGCAGCGCGCGGGCGTACACGGCCGAGAGCGGGTCGTCGCCGTCCCCCGGCTCCGACAGCAGGCGCGGCCGCTTGCTCGGCGGCGGCGGCGCAAACTCCCTGGACGAGCCGGACGCCATCCTAGACCTGCTCTCTGTCATGCTTGCGACGCCAGACAGACACCTGGCGGCAGACAAACGATCAGTTACGGATGCCGCCACAGAGACCTCGACTACGCTGTGCAACATCGATCTCACTACAAACAGTATAGACGTTACACTAAGCACACATTTAAAACTTCTAGCTAAACAATCAAATGTAGCATAAAATACATCATGGAATTACTCCAGCGACCACACATACAATACACATCAGACATGTTACAACAACAGCATCCAAATACAAATGGAGTTGTACACATCCAACTCCACGTCTCTTCCGGAGCTCAGCAGTGCCTGACAGCACATCACACAAACTCCCAACCACCGTACCTCGGGCAGTGACAGCGTGTACGTCCTCAGAGTGAGCGGCTGCAGGCGACATAGCCGCTCGTTGGCCGCCACGCAGTCAAAGTGCGCCTCCAGTAGCGTCTGAAGGGCGTAGAAGGTGGACTCGTCCTCTGCGCCACAGAGCCACTCACGCTGTCGGTGGAGGAGAGTGAACGTTAGTGGGTTTTAGTTTGGCTTGATTTGGTGTGACAGGGCGCACCATCAACGAAGCTACATCGCTAAATGTAAGTGAGGCGAAGGGTCTAGTCCAGGGATGCGGAGCCGTGAAAATCTCAGACGGCTCCGGCTCCGGCTCCGGAGAAAAAAATCGGCTCCAGCTCCGGCTCTGGCTCCGGGTGAAATGTCATGGCGGCTCCGGCTCCGAGTAAAATGGTCCGGCTCCGGCTCCAGCTCCGACTCAGTACATCCCCTATGCCTAACAGAACCATCCGGACAACGGCAAGTAGTTCGATCAAGGTAGGTACGGCGGGGCTCTCGCCCGCTGGGTGGTGCGTGGTCGTGCAAAGGTCGTTGAGTCTTATGACGTAACCAAGAATCTGAGGGCTTGGGTGAAAAGCTCGTGAGAGGGTTGTGTCTCCAGGATTGACAGTGAATGTAGGTAATCCTCCTAAGCAGCTAGAGCGGATTTCTGTCCACTTAAACGTCTTTGGAGCCGAGAGAAGTCGTGTCGTATTCCCGGATTCAGAAGATTAGTCTTAAAATACAGACATATGAGCCATAACAACAGTGGACGACGGGCCAAGGTTATGGCATCGTTAAGACCATCATTCGCAACACGGAATCAACACACATCCACGAACACCTAGCACCACATCTCCGCCACCTTGTCGGTCGCCTAGTTCTCTGCATAATGCATATCTCGCCGGCCACGACTCGACCGACCCACCTGGTCCAGACCGCTGTTGGCCCAGTCGTAGCTAGAAGCGATCACCAGACAGCCGTCGGGTACGATGTACCGATGGACTGAGGTCAGGAACGCGACCGGAGAGCCGAGACCGGTCAGCGTATCAGCCACCAGCACACAGCCGAACTGACTGAAGTCGGACGGTAGGCGGCACGGGTCCTCGGGCCAAAACTCCACCCGGTCTCCCGTCTGTCGGGGGGAGGGGGGAGGAGTCAGTGGAGGGACGGCTGTGCAGGTGGCTTACAGCGGCGGCAGACACGGATCGTCGAGGGACACGTGGTTGGAGGCGGGCGTACGGGCTCTGTATTGGGGCGGCGATATGGTGAACGAAAATCAGACTAGAAAAGTCGGCATTACATACCGCGATAAAAACACTTTTGGGATTACAAAAGAAAATATAAACTAGATTAATTCACTAGGTAGTTATCAGACTTTTTTTTTCTAAGATAGTCCGTTACCCATGATCAGGTAACCAGGAGTGCCCCCTCCCACAGTCCCGGCGACGCACAGAGACCTTACTTTAACACCAGGTAACATAATAAATTGATCAAGTCGCGGCACTCCCTGCTAAGAAGTGGAAAATATAAATAAAATATAACGCATGCAATACTACTAAAAAATGTTAGTAAGTACGCCAAAAAGGAGGAAAGTAGTCATTGCCAAGTGAAGCAAAATGACTGCCCACTGTACCAACACAAGCAACTATCATTTATACCAGTGTTAGTAATTAACGCAATACGCATTCATACTCAAGGTGGGGAAAAGCATGCCTGGTCATGTTCTTGCAAGGTTATTTTTATGCCGAAACCCTTGGCTCCGTCCGGCTAAGCTAGGCTTGTTGCCAGACAGAACCTCAGGAAACAGCACGGACTAGAGTATTCTAAGAATTAGTACAATAAGTTGTATAGATGTCAATGTAGGTAATGCATGTAACCTACATTCAATTTGCATATTTACCATAAGGCAAATATGCAAATTGAAATAGACAATGATTGAGAAGGGCGGCACACAAGGATTTATTGTAGTTGGTATTTAATATAGGTATATACGAATCGTTATGTTGTGTACATGCATGACATGCACATACGTACATACATGCATATGCATATGTATCATGTACGCGAAACATACACACATACATACACACACGACACATATGCATCCCACAAACCAAAGTGGGTAATATGTACTTTTTCCAACGCAGAGTACACCGTGGAAATAGCACATATTTATACAAACCCCTAACGATATACGAACAGTATAGCTATACACAATATATAGGTAGGAATAATGTTTGTCGCTATGAGGTTGATTATTCTTATTATTGTTTTGATTGTTCATTAATTGTTCATATTTATCTTAAGTGTTGTATGAATCAACAAAGTGTCTGCGTATCACCTTCTTTATTATTTGTTTTGAAGATGGAATATGATTAACAGTTGTGAAAAGAGGTGCAACAATGCTATTCCACAATCTAGGACCTAGAAATCTGATAGTAAATAGTCTGTAGTTGCGATTAGAGAAGGGCTGGTTGAAGTGAGTGGTACGCCTCGTGCCGGCATGGTTTTCGGGACTCAAATCAAACAGGTTGTTAATTGTTTCTGGAAGTTGTTCTTTAATAAATTTGTGCATAACAAGAAGCATATGAGATCTCGCTATATCAGTTATCCTTAATAAGTTATATTTTTTGAAAATAGGCACAGAGCTCTGAGGTGGGTAAACTCGTTCAATTAGTCTGACAGCTCTCTTTTGTAATATGATGAGTTTTTCTAACTGAGCATGGTAATTATTTCCCCAAACGATACAGCAATAGTTAAGATATGGAAGAATTAGGGCATTATACAAAAGGAGGGTCGTTCTCTTATCAATATAAAAGCGTACTCTTGCCATTATTCCGATGTTCCTGCTAACGATATTTGATGTATAGTCTATATGTTTTGTGAACTTCAATGACTTATCGATGAAGACTCCTAAATATTTGATAAACTCTTTCTCTTTAATTTCAGTTGAATCAAGTACTACGTTTACTTTTAACCCTGAAGACTGAGTTGCATAATGCTGTGTGAAAGTTTTTGTGCCGTTTAGAGAAAGAAAGTTTGCATGAAACCAGTTACTGACTTTTTCAGTAACTTCATTTACAGTTCTTTGTAGGCTATGTATGCATTTATCTTTAAATATGATTGCAGTGTCATCTGCATAGGAGAGGCAAGTTACGTCAGGACTGATGTTTGGTAAATCATTTATATATAATATAAATAACAGAGGACCCAAGATCGATCCCTGTGGAACTCCCATAGTAACATTTTTGACAGATGAGTATGCTTTTCCTATTTTCACACATTGCTTCCTTTCTTGCAAGTATGAAGATAATATTTGTTGTGATTTGTGTCTTATACCATACCTTTGTAGTTTTTGTAGTAGCAAATCAATGTGCACCGTATCAAAAGCTTTTCTTACATCTAGAAATAAGCCGAGCGCAAAGTTGCCCTCTTCAAAGGCTTTAGTAATTATATCTTGTAGAAGAAGAATCGGCATATAAGTTGACTTTCCTTTTTGAAAACCAAATTGATTACAGTGAATAATGTTGCTTCGGTTAAGATGCTCAATGAGCCTTCGGTATATTAGTTTTTCAAGAATTTTTGAAATAAAGGGTAAAATGCTAATTGGTCTATAATTACCCACTTGCTTTTTATCGCCATCCTTAAATATTGGTTTGATGATTGCCACTTTTAGGGGTGATGGAAATTCAGCTTTGCTTAAACAGGTGTTCAAGAAGTAAAGTAAAGGATTTAGTATGGCCTTGTATGAAGCTTTAAACAATTTAGAGTTAATGTTGTCGATACCAGCACCGACATTTTTCAGTTTATTAACTATATCGATAAGTTCTTGTTCATTTGTAAGAGTTAAATCCATTTCTTCATGCACGAATGGTACTTCGCTCAGTGGGTCAAATGGTGAAGGTGGTATCCTTTTCCTTAAAGTTTCACCTATCTCGGAAAAGAATTTGTTAAAGGTTTCTGCAATATTTTGATCATCAGTTACTGTTTTGTCATTGCCATCTGAAACTTCGCAAGGAATGTCATCAGTTTTGTTGCCAGTGTTTATCAAAGATTGTATAGTTTTCCATGTTTCTTTGGAGTTGCCAGAGTTTTTATTGAACTCATTAATGTAATACAATCTTTTGGCAGACCTAATGACGCGCGTGAGAATGTTCCGATATTGATTGTACTGAGTTGTATTATTATGTGAAGGATTTTTTAGCTTATTTTTAAACAACTTGTTTTTTTGGGTAATAGAGGTAAGAATAGCTGGAGAGATCCATGGCATCCTCGGATGGTCTTTCCTGGTGAATCTTTTTGTGTAAGAGAAGGCTGTTATACCATTGTTGTATGTTTCAATTATTTTGTTTGCCATGGTATTAGTACAAGTTTCTTGATAAATGTTTCTAAGTTCATTTGATATATAGGATTTGAATTCATCAATCTTCCTATAATCAAATATCTGTTGCTCATTAGTCAATTTTATTTGCTCCTTAGCAGTGTTTATGTGAACATTTAGAGATGCATAGATAGGAAAGTGATCGGATAGATCACTTAGGATAATGCCCGAGTGTGCCACCCTTGTCAAATCATTGCAGAAGATGTTGTCGATAAGAGTGTGAGATGGGTGGCAGGAGCGTGTTGTTTTTGAAATGGTAGGGAAAAAGCCATGAGACAGTTGGTTATGTAGAAAAGCTTGAACAGCTGGATTGGATCCAATTGAGAAAAGATCAAAGTTAAAGTCACCAGTAATCAAAGTGACCTTGTTAAGATTATTAAGCCAAATGAGTAGTTTTTCAAGTTCTTCATTGAACTGATGTTTGTCAGTACTAGGTGATCGATATATTTGACATATGATGAGACATGTATTTTGAATTTTAATCTTTGTGCAAATAACCTCAGCCGTAGTGAATGTAGGACTGTCTAGGCATTCTGGGGACAGATAACTCAGACTGTAGATTGCTGAACCTCCACCCGCACCAGCTGATCTGCTACAGAATGCAGCCTGGTAGCCTGGCAAATTGTAGCATTTTTCAATATTTTTGGTTAACCATGTCTCAGATATGGATATAACATGCCAAGTAATTGCGGTGTCATTTGACAACCAAGTACAATGAATATTGTACCTACTACCCATTAAATATCCCATTTTAAGACAAACGTCACTTTCGTCGTTCTTCTCCACAACCACAGCCACACTCTAACCGAGCTGCTTTTATCATTCTCCCTTTCCCTCCACATCGCCCTGCTCCTGTCACTCACCGTGGACGCCGCTGCTTTAGCGATGAGCGGCTGCGCGGCCGGTCCGCCCTCCTCCGAGAAACTGTACACGCAGTGTCCGAACTGTCTCAGTTGCTGGGCGTGCTGCAGCAGGTCCCGGTCCGGCTCGACGCCCACCACCTGCTCGAACTGAGCGCTCAGCTCCAGGGAGACCCGGCCCGTGCCGGAGAGCACGTCCAACACTCGGCGCTGGTAGCTCGGCTGACGGAGGAGTCGGGGCGAGAGGTCAGTGAGAGGAACGTGAAGTAAACTAAATTAATGCCAGCAGTAGTACTCAGTAAGAAAAACGAATAACATTGAACTTCACACCGCAGTTAATGAGTGAGTAACAAACTTTCACAGTCCCTGTTCTCGAATTTACAGGACCAACCAACTTTCTAGCTTTAATGACCGATCTCAAAAGTAAGTATTAAGTAACCACACAGAGGATATTCCCACTGTATCCCACCCCAGCTCCGCCAGCGGCACCCACCAGGTCGGCGGTGTGCAGACGGCAGATCTCCACCAGTCGGGCGTTGAAGCCGGCGGCCGCCTGCAGCACGGGCTGCGGCACCAGCTGACTGAGGTCGCCGTACTCGGCTTGCAGCCGGCGGCTGACGCGGGTGGCCGGGTCGGGACGGGCCGGGCCGCCGGCGCGCCGCCACCGGTACAGGGCGTACAGCAGCGCCGCCGCCGCCGCCGAGGTGCCCAGAGCTGTGGCACAGCCCAGAGCAGCCGCCGTCCTCATACCAGCTCCGGTGCCTGTGGCGGACCGGGCCGGTCACGATATACATTCCCTTCCATAACATGTGGGACTATGAAACCGTTTTCAGTTTTAATGTTCTGGATCACAGCTTTAATGCCATACCTAATTCAGATAATGAGAAACATTTAATCTGAATTGCAAGACTGAATTAAAATTTTATTATAATACAAAACTAACAACATCCATCCAACCAAAACATCTACCTTAGCATACCTACCTGTGTATAATGGATAAAACAGAAATATGTGTATGATACCATAATGATAAATGTTAACCTGTCTTACACACATAAAATTGTTACCCTACATATAATAAAATATGTGCAGATCATGCCAATCCTAGAGGGTGTCACTGACTGTCATATTAACAGCAGATGATCAGTACAGTAACAATTCTACCTAAAAAAGGATATGAACACATTAATAATTAATGATCACTTTAGTTCCTTATTAGTATGAAAATTCATTTAGCCACACATCATCATCCAGGTATCAGCAGCATAAAAAGTGTTAGGTGAAAATTCCACTGTATATTAAAAAAAAAGTTAAATGGCAAATGAAATTAGTCTGGGATATGAAAATGACAGCAAGAATGAAGCAGCATGCCATCCTTCTTCATTACCTGGGGACTTTGGAATGATGCTATGCGTATGTGATGCATTTAGGACTGTAAACACAACTGTATAGATTCACCACACAGCAAGCATGCTCAGGGCATAGTAATCTACCCAGTACCCACTACAGGGGCGAAGCCACCCACCGTTCTGTATCCTGTGCAGCAAGGGCAGGAAATCGGATGGTTAATTGTTGATAATGGGCTTGGGAACTGATATAATGTCAAGCAGTGCCACTCTCATCTGATATCAAATGCCTCCTCAGTAATTGCAGCAAGAGATAACTAATGACAAACAGTGCCACTCTCATCTCATATCAAATGCCTCCTAAGTAATTGCAGCAATATATAGGTACCTATCAAAATCACTTCCTTGAGCAGCATGTGCCTAAAATCAACTAAATGCATGATGCATCATACAGAAGAATGATGCCAAAATATTTTAGTTTATTAGGCCTCACTAAGTGACCATCTTTCTATAAGCATTGCAAAATGATTCAACCTGGAAAATGGAAGAAGCAACTAACTTTGCTCATCAATCAAATTAGCAAACAGCTTTCCTCTACATAGCTTCACCAGCACCCACTCTGTAAGCATTCAACAGTCACCCTGTACAAATCTTAGAAGATAAAATATTCTTTACAAACAAGAAACTTCTTAAATGTAGATATGTAGGTAACTGAATAAATACCTACATAATCAAACAACAAGCCTGCATAATCAACAAACAACTAAAACTTCCCTGCACTAGGTACTGTCGCTGACATGTTATCAGCATACCTAAACTATAATGCTAATTGCTGCCGCATAAAAACTGAACTTGATAGTGGTACTTAACAGGTGTTTAACAAGGCAAAGTTAAGCATTTGGGCGAGATCTAACAAGGTAACGTGTTAAATCAACATCAGTCTATTACCATACAATCATCACAAATTATTACAATTTTCAGAATAAATAATCATGCAAAAAAGGCAGTTACCAGCATGATGCTCTATTCCATATCAAGCCTTTCAATATTTTGCTTGCGCCACTCAACACTTCTCCGTTCAATATTTTGCACTTTAGAATGTCAGTAGGCGGAACTATGGTCATGAGTACCCAAATATAGGAACGTTCCCATTTTTGGGAACGGAGTTCCCAAATATGGGAACGGGCGTTCCCATTTATGAGAACGGAAGGCAATTTTTCGGCCGTTCGCCCACTAAAACTCAAAAGTGCATCACGTCTCAAAAAAGTGCACGCTGATTTAAGTATCTACTAAATCTCCATAAAGTTATCTTTAATCTGACCGTGGAACAAGGAAATTGACCGTGGAATGATATTTTTAATGATTTTTTAAAAATGACAGAATGGTGGAAATATGGGTTATACGACATTTAACATGCAAGTTTAAGGAAAATGAAGCATTTTTTACATTTTGAGGTCAAGTATAATAATTTTCGCCTGGTTATGAAGTTTCATTCTAGCGACACCAGATGATGACATATGCAAGCGAACACGCGGACAGTCCCGAGGTAATATTGTTGACATTTGGTGTCGGGGCGATCGACCGCGTGGAACGTCAGTGATTTTACCGAACTACTGTTGTAAACTCAGTTTCAGTGGTTTAAAATCATTCAGCTGTATTTTATCAGCCCTGAAAGACATATTTTATTTGGATGCTAGCTGTTTAGCGTTGTTTTATAAGCAGTGTCATGAGCGTGGTTTTTGTCTTCGGCGTTTCTAAGCATGATCGGTTGGGGGAATTTCTCTGATATAGGTCGCTCTGTGTGGCTTATTTATAATTTTTATGCTGATTTCGATCATACGTCGTGCCCATCCTACCAGGCCTTTTGCCACTTACACTCATTAAGAAAGGAAAAAACTAGATTTTCATTGGGACTAGGTGTTTTGAGGGTGTAACATATTCAGCGTTCCCATTTTTGGATACTTCTTGTGCTCGTCAACTCTCGGTGATTAGCAGACAGGTGCTTGACATGTCTCCACCCTCGGCGCGGACGGTGGATATAGGTATGGAAGACCTTGTTGAACATCGCTGAGCGTTGTGGATTACGTAATCCTGCAGAGGGGGGCGTGCCCGCTGCGAGATCGACGGGAATAAAAGCGCAGAAGACCGGGCGAAACATGCAACGGTCTTGCCGGAAAGGTCATCTGATGATTGTTGCGTTAACAATAATTTGCGGCGTTGGACGTGATGCTTGTTAATGAAAAGAGCCCCTGAAAGGCGTCGGTGAAATCGTTCCCAATTTTGGGTACGCCGTTCCCATAATAAGGAACGCTTGCAGCGCCAGTGTACGACAGCGTTCCCAAATTTGGGCTCGCGGCCCGGGTGATGGACTGCTTTAGAAATAGGGGAACGATTTGAAACTACGATGGGCCTTACAATATCAAACTCTTTCCCAACAATATTGAGACAACTATCAGGCGGTTCACGATCGTTTTATATTTTTTGGACGTCATTTAACAGTTCTTTTTCTTGTTTTAAATAATGCCTACATGGCGTTCCCATATTTGGGTTTATCGTTCCCAAACATGGGAACGAAAATGCGTTCCCGAAAATGGGTACGCTTGACCATAGTTCCGCCTACTGATGTAAGAGCTGCAAGCGTGGTGTATATCTAAAAAGCACTTTTATCAGGGCACTTTGACTGCAAACTTGATAAGGAACAGAGTAAAGCTGACAAATTTCAAATAAAAACCAAGATTGACACTAACCTGTAAAAACACTCCTTACTCGTCTAATATATTGATACGAGATACAGTCGTACAATATTCAACAACCGCGATCTCTGTTAAGCTTCGTTCGTTTCTTAGAAGAGGTATGTTCCTGAAATATTATAATATATTTAACGCGGTTACGCGAAAACAGCCAGTGACTTCCTTTTCTCACGCCTTTTTACACCCTCAAATACAAAGTCGACGCAAATCTGTACCATTATTGTCAACATCCTTTTCTTCAAATGGTAGCAAAACATTGGTCATAACCGTCGATATAAATCTCAATATTCATAGTGTATAAAATAGAATAGCTCTCCAAACTTACAATAAAATCAAGAAATATTTTTTTTTAAGTCCTAAAGTTGGAGTTTTGAACAGTTTTAACGATAGTCTATCATTGGTATCTTTTGGAAAAGAACCCAAATTTGTTCTTCCTTCATAAAGTATCGTAGAAGCTGCTTCCATATGAAACATTTGTGCTTCCATATGATCCCACAAATCAAAACAATGCGCATCAGCATAGTGATAGGCGCGCTGAGACTTCTATACAAACAAGCCAAATAAAAGCCAAATTCAAGCTAAAATGCTAGTTGAATGACTGTTGTCGCGATCAGAAGGGTTACGTGCAAAGGAAATTGAAGTGATAGCGCTGTTCCTCCAAATAAATCAACCGAAGCTTTTCAAAATACAGGATCAAGGTCACACGAGATGTCAGTGTTGTTTCAGTTTCTCTAATTAAAGTTGAACCACTAAGTAATAATGAAGGACGTCATAGAAAATAAGGAAGAGTACAAGGTTAGTTCCATATTTTAACCTCATGATTGTAATTTAAGTGGGTATTCCCAAACCAAAGGAAGTCTGAAGCTAGTTCACACTAACGGTGGGAGGCCGAGGCTTGGTTGGTGTTGGTGGCAGATGATTGTGGTCCATGATGAAGTGCATTCATCTGGCCCCTGGAAAGTGACATGATCCTGGAGCCTCCCTTAGGTCTGAAACAGCTGCTACCAGTGATTGCTAATGCTAATATAATGGCTAACCCTGGCTAGGCTACACTTACATGACAATCAGGGCTTACTGAGCAGTGAACCCAAGGGGCAGGGGTTGCCTCAGCCCTAGTTGAGAAGCCCTAGAAGTTACTATTTTACTATTAAGATGTTATGGGCACAAAATGACCTTAGTAGTTAGTAGTCAGCATGCTATAAACCCCCAATAAACAAACAGTTACAAGCCTCTGTTGAGAAAGTGGTCACTTGGCTCATATCTCTGGCTATGTAAAACTGGCTAGTGACTCTGCAATAAACCAAGCAAATAACAGTTACTTGGCAGTAGCTTGTAACTGCCTGTGGTTATATACAGCTGAATGAGAGGCCACTCATATCAGAAAGTTGATGGATCTTCAGTTGCAGTCAATTATCCATGATATGCTCTGATCTGCAACTCGCCTATTAGCAAGTTGTCCACATCAATACACCTTCAGAAAATCAGGAATGGTTTTTAGGTGCTTCATCCTCACAGGCTCTGTGAGGTGTGAGATCAGCCAGAACTAGAGTGCCTGATCAAAGAAGCTGCTACTCCTGGTGCATGATGCTGACTGTCTCAGGCTAGATGTCCATAGGGATGCCATGCACCTGGATACTGACCATTGTGGACAGTTGTCTGGCTATGAATTAAGTCAGGCACAGTTACATGGCGACAGCACAGCCCTGATGACTGCCTCAATAACAGCCAGGGCTGATAAAACCTCTGTAGGATCATTCAATTGCTAGAGGAACCTTTAAGTCATGGTTACGGCCTATCATTTTGAACACAAATGACCATGACATGACCATGACAGCCTTTAATAGATAATCAAATAATTTGTTTGTGTTTTGTCATCCTAAATGGTTGTGTGAAGGAGCTTTCAGTACTGTGATGAGCTTGGTACTGCTGTAGCTTGATAATTAAATTATGTTTGGTATCATTGATATCACTGGAAAGTGGAAACTTTTCATGTTCATCCATGTGCATCTCACTAATTTCCAATGCAAACACACAATGGGAGCACAATACCAGTGTGATCGTTACAATAACATGGCGGGACAAACCCAGATGTGCCCCATGCCCCCGCGGTCGGTGACCTGCCGTCGCCCCTGCCGCCGCGCGCTCGGCACACCTGTCGTGGTCGCCGGCACACCTGGTCCCCCGGACTGTCAGTCGCTGCGCCCGTATCGTCGGTACACCGTCCGCCTCGCTGAGCGTCCGGCCGGAATGTTGTGACCCGGGAATGGTTGTCTTATATGACTAGTAACGTGGAGTAAACTGCGACGTGGGGTGGTCTCTCGGACGACATGGTTCTGTGCAAGCTTCTGCTTACTTGCGATTCGATAGAAGTCAGTGCGATTTGTGAGAATTATCGCTCTTGGTGACGTACTACCGTGTTCTCGTATCGGTAAATGCCGTGAGAAGCTATGCGTGACGTGATCGGTTTTATCGCTACTGTTTGATAAAGCACAACGCCCGTCGGTGGCGGTTCGTTTCTCCAATGCGGCGACATTTAGACTCGGGGGCGTGCACGGCCCGTCTGGTCTGTCACAGGTGACTCGCAGTCAGTGAGTGTGACTCAGTGAGTCTGGCTCAATTCCCCGGGCGACCCGCAGGTGCCATCGATCGCGACTCCATAAGTCATACCCGGTGGGAGGACAGGTGCGCTCGGTGAACGGCCGGCGACCGAGGCGGGCTCAGTGTGACGGGGCCGGGTACAGTGTCAGTGTGACGGAGCCGGACACAGTGTAACGGGGCCGGACACATTGTAACGGGGCCGGACACAGTGTGACAAATGCTGGCACAGTGTGACCGAGGAGTGCACATTGTGCCGGAAGCCGAGGGAGTTTCTGTGGACGTAACGTGCATGGGCGACTGAACACTGACGTGACCGACTGTAAGGCTGCGTGGTGGGGGCGTACGAATAGACTGTGACAAAGTCTGGTAGCGGTGTTGGACAGTCGAGTGAGCTGCCGCCTGCCGGATCGTGCCGCTCGCTAAGGCTGCCACTGTCGGTAGACGTAGCGGCAGTGGGCGATCGACCCGCCTAGTTGGACAACCCACAGCGCCGCGTCCCCCTCGTATCAGCCTGACATTTGCCTGTCGCCCAAGCACCGCACAATGTGACACGGTGGTGCGGCTGTCTGTCCCTGCGGCGTGGCACAATGTGACAGTCTGCGGAGGGAGTGTGTCGCGGTACAGCGCCGCCCAGTGTGGCTGTGAGACTGTGCGACGGTGCTATACCGATAGACGGGCACAGTGTTCAGGCTCCAGGCATGTATCCTTCGGTGAACACCAACTGGGCTAAGGTATGCACTTGCGGAGAATATCTGGGGGTCGTTTGTGTTGTTTTTGACTTCTTTTTATTTTAGTTCTTTTGTGCGACGTGTCGAAGCGGCTAGTGTCGGTCACGCACGGTGTGCTTATTGAACGCGATGTTTTTACGTGGCCTTTTTTCTAGCTTCACACCCGTACCAGCTGTTCTGTGTTCATTCAACTGTTCATCTAACAAACCATCCCACTCTGAAGCACTCAGCCTGGCTAACCCAGTGCCCTTCGTCATACAGCGCTGCACTGCACAGTGCACACCTCAAATACCCCTAGACTCTAGAGTGTCCGGTAGTGCACCCCTGTGCGTGCACCCATATAGCCTCTAGCGTTGTATCCGTCCATACTTGGCAGCCTCTCTGTACCCGCAGCGCCTGATGGTGTACCCAGAGGAGGAGGAGGGCGACGGACTGCTCCTGCCGCTCTGATGGTGTATCCCTGTGTTCCCCACAGCGCCTGATGGTGTACCCAGAGGAGGAGGAGGGCGACGGGCTGCGCCTGCCGCTCTCCCCGGTTGGCCAGCGGGGATACGGCCTGGACCGTAACCGGCGCTCCTCTGCCGAGGACTTTGGCTCCACCAGCGAGGAGGACGAGATGGTGCTCCACCCGCTGGAGAGCGTCCTCAAACAGATCAGAGAAAGGTCAGCAGACGAGAGGGAGCCGAAGGGGGCGGGCTGGATCAGTGACTGGACTGGAGTGGGTGCAAATTGTGCTAGCTACCGGACTGGATGGGGAGGGGCGGGGTCAGGTGCCGGACTTACTCGGGGGGGGGGGGGGAGAGGGGGAGGTAAGGTCAGGCCGGCTCGGGCTGAACGGGGAACTGGTGGTGGGTTGACTGGTGAGTCAGGTCAGGGCCCGTATACAACGATGGGAAGGTGAAGCAACGAGCCAGCATAAAATGGGCCAACGAAGACAACTATATGGATTATTGAATAGGTAGATGAGGGATCGGAGTCAGGTTATAGGAGACTCATGGACGGCAGAAGGCATTCCCCGAGTCATTCCGAATCACGAGTCATTCCGCAAGCACAAACGTCATACAAGTTTCGCTGTGCCCGGCAGGCCGGTGCAGCCGCGCCGTTGGGCCTACTGCTGCTCGGGCGTCGTGTTCGCCGGCATGATCGGCCTGGTGGTCGGCTTCACCATGGCCTACGGCCTGTTCCTCTCGCTGGAGGCGCCGTGCGCTCACTCGCGGGTCTGGCTCACCGGTTCCGACCACGTCCACCAGCGGCTGCTCAGCGACCTCCGGCCAGAGAACGTCGCCAACTTCCTGAGGTCAGTCCGGCACCGGGCGGCGACGGCAGCGCCGGCTAGTGGCGGGGAGGGGAACTAGGGAGTGCTGCCGGTGGCCGAGGGCTGGGGGCTGGGACGCTGTGTTTGGTGAAGAGTGGTGTTTGGTGTGGCCGGATTTGGTGCTGGTGGTTCCGGAAATGGTGCTGGTGGTGGGGCCTTGGTGTGTGAGGAGTGTGTGCTGCTACTTGCATGCCCCATGGAATTGTAATCGGTTTATTGGGAGTGGCGGTTGAAAAACCGTCTAGTTACGGGGCGCATAATGAGCTCGTTGTCCCACCGCAGCGAACGACACACAAATAGCTAGCAAGTGAAACTGAGGAATTTGCAAATAAGATGTCACTTTTTAATCGTTTGATCGAGACTGGCCTGATATTACGTGATCCTGTTATGAGGGGCTGGACAATGCAACGATCGGTTGATATTTGCTATCTGCGCATTCTTTCCCGAAGCCAAGCTCCGTACTTTAACGTCATACTTCTGTCATCTGTCGGTCCCGTGGCCGGTCCCGTAGCTTAGTCGGTAGAGCGTTGGACTCCGCCGTGGTTAGAGCACGCGTCCCGGTTACAGCAGTCCGGGGTTCGAAGTGCGACGGCCGCCCGGTATGCCCCGATGCGGAGGCATGTCCGATGATTATGAGCCCGCTGGTGGGTAAAGTTGCGGTTGGTGGCAGGCCGTAGCCAGCTGAAGTCAGTGAAGGGACCAACCGTACGCAGCTATGTGCATACGTTAAACTTTGGACTCTAAAATCTGCCATAGACAGGAACTGCACGATCGGAGGGTGAAGGCAAGGCCCAGAGTATATAGACAACGCAAGGCCAACACAACAAACTCTGCTCTTAGCGCGGGCTCTGTTCTTGTGAATTCCTCCATTAAAAAAAATCGGACATTTTTTGAATCTGCGGTATTCATGCCTATTGTCCAGTGGGCATGGACCCGCCGGGCTGAGTGCTTCTGTCTGAGACTCCCAGAGTCGGACAGCTTTGCGTTGCCGCCAGCTGCACCCTCTGGCCGTTATCTGGTGCACGCCACCGAATGCCAGTCACCACGGTGCACAGTGTCATTGTCAGTCACTACTGCAGTGTTCACTGCACAGTATTTGTAGTAGTTACTGCACACTACACAGTGCGTTTGTCAGTCACTAAAGCCGCTGAGACAGACGCTAGCTTCCGTGCCTCTCCAGCATCTGTCAGAAGCCGGCAGGCACACAGTTAACGCCGGCGGACCGACAGAATGACAGAATGACAGATGGTTGCTCCGCTGCTCTCATTTCTCCGCTCCGAACGTCCGGCCGTGGTGACTGACTGGGGGCTGTCCTATGTGGGACTGGCTGACGGCTGCCCTGTCCGAAGGACTGTGTTTGATTCAGCGTTAGCTGTACATACCGGCAGACTGTACGATCCAATCGGTACAGCTAACCAGCGGTAGTCCATCCAGCTACCCAATTGTATTTTGGGACCAGTTGCATTTTCTGCTCCGCTCAGCGTGTCTGGTACCGGTACGGCGCATTGACAGCTAAACTGGAAATCAGTTCAAATGGCCACAAATCGTATGATGGTCTTCTGTTTGTTTTTACACATGGATGCAATGATTATTGTTTCGGTTCGGGCTTACATGTTTTTTTTTTTGCGTAACATCGCATTGGGTACTTCAAAAGGAGTTGCCTTGGACTTTGGTGGTAGCTGACAATGATTGGTTCCGATGTTGTATATTATCCCCAAATGCTGCCAACTTCAACCTTAATTAAATGACCTGGTGCCAGATAACATTAATAAAGATGTGTCAGTTTAGGGACGCTTCCGAAATGTTACCAAAATTAACGACTCATCAGAGATCAATCGACCGTTTCACGTCATTCTTCAAAGCAATCGACCAAAGTGTGGCTTGTAACACCACCGCAGGTATCTGCGCTCCCTTTGTGACCGGGCCACGACCTGGCGCTGCTGGCGGCGTCCAAAGCAAACAGGTGCGCGCCGCGGCTGGCCGCGGCGGTGACACAGCGGCTATGTGACGACCTGGACGCGTCGTGCCGTCGGTCCACTGGGCGTGCCTGGCAGCACCTCAGTGCCGCATTGTTGGTGACCTGGCGGGTAGTTGGCGGCGGCGGCGAGGGCGGCGGACCGCCGTCCGACCACCGTCGATCGGAGGCGTGCCGAGCTGACTGCGTGGCTCGCCCCACCGCCGGCCGCCGCCCACCGGCCAAAAACAACAACAGCCGACCGCCGACGGCCGACGGCCCGGGCGCGGGCGGCCGCGGGCGGCGCGGCGGCGGCGGTGGTGTCGGTGTCGAGTGGCGTCGCCCGGTGCGCGCGGTGTGTGAGAGTGCTCCGCCGGTGTGCGTGTGTTCCGTGCTCGTGGTGGAGCCCAGAGCGGTCGCCCATGCTGAGCTGGAGCAGGCAGGTGGCTGTCCCCTTGGAGGTCCTGGGGAGGCGGGATAGGGATAGGGACGGTTCTGTCCGAGTCTGTGTGGATCTGGGGAGGGTGGATGGTCCATGTAGGCAGGCGTCCAAAAGGTGGTGCTGTGCCGCCTCGGTAGATGCCAGGTGGCGACTGAGGCGTAGCTGTGGCATATTTCAGAAACGAGCCGCCTGTTTGTTTAGAAATTATTCACGTCACGTAGGTGTGACGTTTCTCGCTTTTCTGCCAGATGATCTCTACTGTGGAAGGCGATCGCATTTTCTTGAATTTTCGGCACGCTTTGTAGTCCGTCTTTTACAATTGCAAAATTAAATGGAACCATTCTCTGTTTTTGCAAGCGATAGGCTACGAAGAGCACAATTTTGATTTTCGACCATGCAACGTAGGGTTACATTCATCGATATTTGTTCGTGGGCCAGTCCCAAATTTATAACAACTTGATTTCTGATTATTGATGTGTGCTGTAGATCGATAGGTATAAGCTGGGCTTGTGTGAAGATAAGCAATGGTACTTCGTGCCATGAGTCATGACACCGTTGTGTTATATGTGACGCCCCCTAACCTCTGCTGTAATGTGTGACATGCTCCACTTCTTTACTTGTCCCCAGTGAAGTATGTGGTATTTGCCGGCCTCTGTCCCCCGCCCCTGTGAGGTAAAGCGCCTCATGCCATGCCTTCTGGTGCTACTGTATAACACGTGGCGTCGTGCAATCTCTGGTACTGCTGTGTCGTAAATACCCCCTCCCGGGTTTTCTGTGGTCCGTGTGTCATCTTCTCGGGCTGGCGTCAGGTTGCAGACTGTCCCGCTGCCCTGACTGAGAGTCATGCATCGCTCAGGTCCCTGACCCGTGTTGGCTGGTGCTTCTGCTCCCCGTCACGGGTCCCATTGTCGTCTGTCTGTGAGGTCCCCTGATCCCCGCCACGTGAGTGTGTGCAGGTGCTCTGTGGCCGCCCACACCCCGCGCCCCCTGGTGTCTGCTCCCTCGGCTCCTCCCTCCAACGATATCGGTGCGGCGCGCGGCAGGACCGACGGCGTCAGTAGTGCGGCGCCCGGCCGCCAGTCGGCGCCACCGTCGGCGTCACGTGACCGCGCCGTCGGCCCGACGGGATGCAGCGCGAGCTGACGTACGTCGGCGGCCGACTCAGTGGCCCGACCATGGCGCGCGCTATGGTGCCCAGGAACCTCCTCTGGTCCGGCGTGCTGGCCGCCGCCATCGCCTTCTTCATAGCAGGTGTGGAACACTCGGAGATGGTGACTGGTGTGTCAGCTAGCGGAGGGAGCCCCGGGGTGGACCGGGCTCGGAGGTAGTGTGTCAGCCAGCAGGAGGGAGTCCCGGTTGTATGAGGTCGGGGTGGTCCTCAGGGAATCGCCACCGGTGGGTGCTGAGAGAAGCGGGGTCCGGTGGGAGGCCCGACGTTTCGTGCCGCTGTATGGTCCCCTGGGTGAGGGCGGGTCTTTGGTGCGAGCTGGCAGACTGGTGGGGCTGAGAGGCCCGGGTGAGGTCGTCGGGATTCCCCAGGGGTAAGGTTGGGACTGGTTGTTGGGGATAGAATCGGTTCATCTCCCTTCCCAAGGTCAGGACAGGTGACCTTAGGAGATTGGGCGAGGGGCTCGTTCGAATTGAAAATAGACAACTGTCGTTTTGTTCAACTCACCTTTCACAAACTGTTCAAAGATATGGTTCAATCTTGGTCAAATGTCAATGTTATGCCAGGTTTTCGCTGACTCAATCGGGTCCCTGTCTCTCAGCGTCGTGAAAGTGTGGCCTGTGTTCGGTGTTTGGACGGCGGCTATGGATATTTATTTGTCAGCCAATAGGTGATGAATGTGTTTGTACGTACGCGCCCCTCTGTTTGTGTTGGGAGCCCTGGTTGGGCAGAAATGGCCCGGTCCCTCTGACGTTTGGGCCGGTTGTCCCACCAGACTATATGAGGCCGGTTTGGCCGGTGAGGCCGGTTTGGGCCGGTTGTGGGTGCTATATGAGCGTGTGATTGTTGCGTTAAGCTCTGAGTTCAATCAAGGGTTGTGCAATGTGTGACTGTGAGCCATATAGGGCCATAGGTTAACAGCCATAGGCCTGTGACGGTAGCTGTTGTGTCTCTCTGCTGTTATGTGGCCGGTGAGGGTCGACACTTGTGCTGAGTTGCGCCGACATCCGTACTGTTGTGTTGGTGTGCTGTTGCGATGTCGCTGTCTTCTACCCAGTATAACATGGATCTCACCTGGATTGATCATCTTGTCATGGTGTCAACTATAAGAAGTTGATCGTGTTGTGGTACTTCAACCCTGATTGTGTTTTATCGTCTAACAACTTGTTCCTTGTATTCGGTGGTGAGTTTGGGAGGTCCGAGATGCGGTGTCTCGAATAGGGTGAAGTCGTATAAGAGTACGCACTTAGTGGATTTCTTGCTCTCATTTGTTTAATATTTGAAAGAAAGAAATCGCAAATAGGGAATATTAAAGTTCATTGAATTAGCCATCAACCCATGGGGCAACGATCCTTCGGCGTAAATGGAAGTGGTCTAAAACTGACATTTTCTGAACCGCTGCAGTTGCGTACTGTTAC